AGAGAGAGGGTAGGGTTTTCTACGCCTTAGTCCTGTCCTTCTTGGGAAGGAACCCATCTAAATCAAACCACGACGAATTAATGACAACTTCGTTACCAAGAACCAAAAATCAAGAGCAAATTTATGTTATGTACTTGCAAAGCCGGGATCGAGAAAGCCCCCTTTAAAGGGCACTGGACATGTAAAGGGCTCTGGGTCCTGTCCTTCTTGGGRARKATTCCATCTAAAACAAACAAAMCACGACGAATTAATGACCAAGAAGCAAGAATCAAGAGGATATGTATGTTATGTACCTGGAGGGCCATGAAATATAGGGCTCWGTSWCGGGGCYGCGAATCATAACCTTGTCAACTAYGATCTTACATCCTTGGACATGGCATTTGCATCCACCATTATTAAGCTCCATCGCCTTCTCTACAGCGTCTGGTCCCCTAATAAAAACGAGACATGTCCTGTAAAAAAATCAATCAACCAGAAACAAGTCTTTAGTAAATTAGCATTGAAATATAAGTTGGGAAACTGCTTTGGAAGAAGAAGCCACAAACTTTTCGAGAACACTAAGTTGAACGATCTCTCCACATGAAGAGAAATGTTCAACCAGGGCCGTCCTGACAACGTCCTTAGGAAGACAAGTGTCATATCCCGTAACGATCAACCTATATATATAATAATAATTTTGTATCAAATTAACATGACAAGAAGAAGACATCTTATAATACAATACAGATAGTAATCTCCAAGAATCTACTTACCTGTGTGTTTCGTATTTGCGTATGAGGTATCCTTTAGGACCCATAATGAATTCATTGAAAATCCTATTTGATTGCAAAAGATAATGTTATCAACACATGACAAGAAGACAGATACAAAATCTCCACACAAGAAATAATATACTTCGGACTTGAGTCTCTTAGCAGCCGGTTCAGGATATTCTTTCAAAATCCTATATGATTTCAAAGGATAATATTATCCAACATGACAAGAAGAACACATCTTACAGACAGATACAAAAAGAAACGAACAAGGTCAAATTACCGGCTTGATCGAATGGCTGCATCACCCTTTGATTCCAGCCCCTAAGGTACGAAAGATCTAATCAGAAATTCTAATACTTTTCTTCTTGTTAAGAAAGCATCAGTAGAGAAGCAGAAACATATAGGTTTAAGAGTGAGTACAAGGGGAAGAAG